GTACTAAATAACTTTCTGTGATGATGGGAATGTTCTATATCTGCACTGTCCCATATGTTAGCCTTTTCTTTCTGACATACAAATGCTTCTTAGTAAACTGTGGGTTTCTATACTGAATACTAATATGAATAGCTTTCTTATTAAGATTCATTGAAATGTGGCTAAAGATGGCTATCATTTCTTTGACATTCATTCTATTAACAGGTGGGGCCTGTTCTCCCCTCCCCACTTTAATCTGGGCTCTTTGATTGCACTGACCAACAGACAGTGCCAAATCCAGCACTACCTTTTAAGAGGGCTGGTAGGTTCTACCTTTGCCTCAGGAAGCCCTACACCACCTGACCAACCCACTTGGAGTAACCACATGAAAATGTTCTGATAAGCAGAATGAGAGGAGAAACGGGCTAAGCCCAACTTTATGGCCATCTCTACTAAGGCACCAGGCATGTAAGTGGAACCCTTTTGAACATCTAGACTAGTCCAGCTGAATATCAGTGAGTAACCCCACTTTACACTATGTGGCACAAGAATCACCCAACTGTGCCCTGTCCAAATACCTGACCTACAAAATCAGGACATAATAAAATGGTTGTTTTAAGTTATTAAGTTTTGGAATAGTTTTTTTTTTCCTTTTTTTCAACAAAGCAAAACTGAAACAAATGGCAATCAATGACAATATCTTTTGGAAGAAAAACACATTTAAGATTTTCCTTGCTTTGTCAAGATGTTTCCGTCATATTAGACTCCTTCAGAAGCAAAACTTTTTATTATTAGTTGGCTTTAGTGATCTCATATCATGATTGGACCTTACTCGATTTTACTTAAAATAATAAATTTATTAAAATTGGGATGCCAGTGCATACAAAAACGAGTAATTTTTAAATTACCAAATAATTTTATTTTCCTACTAAATGGATTTAAATTGTAATGATTAAAATTTTTAAATAAAATTTTGCTGTTTATTCCTAAAACTCAGTTCTCTGATGTTGATATTTGCCTTCCTCCTTGACATAATATTCACTTTAAACATCAGCCACTTATCCAAGATAGGTATTTGGACAACCTATAGTGGAGCCCTGGTGGCACAATGGTTAAGAGCTTGGCTGCTAATCAAAAAGTCTGCAGTTTGAATCCACCAGCTGCTCCCTGAAAAACCCTATAGGGCAGGTCTATTCTGTCCTATAGGGTCGCTATGAATTGTAATCAACTTGACAGCAACAGGTATTATAATGATAGAAATTTAAATATGGGGGGGTTTACACCTCATGTTCTGAGGAATTATCAAGAATAGAAATAAAAGAAATAAATATACATACAGACATAATTACAGTAATTACAGTGTCTTCTTATAGCTACCTACTTAGCATAATTCTACTACCATAATTTCAATTTTTTAATCTTTCAGAAATTATTTTTATGTATCATTTCCCAGAGAAAAAAATTTATTTCAAATAAACAAAATAGATGCTAAAGCTAGTTTCTGTTGAGCACTATTTTAAAAAAGTACCTTACTCATTTTTAAGACTTAAGCAATAGATACTTAACATAATCAAACTGTATTATACCTTTAAAATTTTATATAATTTAAAATTGTGGTAAGGTATGTTATCCAAATCTGCCCTCCTCAGCTGATTACCTGACAGATTAAAGAACTATGATTATGGGTGAAATTTATCTGCCAAATGGATATATCTGTCTAGGGTCCTACAACTTTTTTTGAAATCCTTTGAGTCACCAAAAGGTCTACTGAAATAAAATGTAAAAATGTCCCAATGAAGTAAAAAAAAAAACACTTGACAGAGAATCATAAAAAGTGGACTCAGAAAATTATATTTGTTGCATGCTTTACTGTTCATTAGCAAAGAGTCAGCATTAAATTCAATGGCTATAATTCTTCCTGTACAACACATCAATTGAATATATAATACTGTATATATTTTTTTAATTTCCCTTAGTGACCTCACTATTAACCAAGTCCCAGCAATCAGGGTGTTTTGTCTACCAATGAAACACAGCAATCTAAGAAAAAAAACAAACAGAAACCACTATGATGGTCCTCATTTCCTTCAAGTCTTTACTCTGAAATAATCTTAAGTAAGGCTTTCCCTGGATGCCCTATTTAAAACATAACTTTACCCCTACCCTCCAATCCCCCTTCCTGATTTTGTTACACCCACTCATTAGTTTTATTCACTATCTAACATATCCTATATGACTCAGAGTCACCTTATTTATTGTCTGCATTCCTCCACTAGACTGAGCTTCTGGAGGCCAGAAATTTTGCTCTTTTCTTCACTGCTGTATTTAGGGTACACAAGAACAGTCCCTGACACATTACAGACACTCAATAAATACTTACTGAACAGATAATTAAATGAGTACAAACCAAAATATTCCTGGAGAAAACAGCCTTTGTGAACTTATTTTCAACTGACAATAAACGAATGTCCTCTCACTAACATGAACTGTAACTAGTCCTGAAGTGAAAAATGCCTACTCATTTTTCTCAAACTAACACAAAGAAAAATCTATATCAAACTTAGAAATATAGAGCTACACATTTAATCTAAACTCTTCATTTAACAGATGATAAAACTGAAATCAACATTGATGGTGACAATTCAGCTTTATTTAACTAGCATAAGTTGAATGCTCTAATAAGTGGAGAAAGGGGGATAGGTAACGACAGAAATGGGTTTGGAGAGATGTTTCCCAATTCTTAAATAAGCATTCTTTCCATAAAATTATGCTGCTACTTCATTTAAGAAAATGACTGTCTTTTGCCAAATGGGAGAAAGAAAAAGAGTAAGCGTATGTAGGGAGTTAAAGGAAAAAAAAAAAAGGGAGGGAGGAATGGAACAGTCTCTGACTCATTAAGATAGGTCCATCCAACTTAAATAAAGTTAGTTTGTAGCTAAAACTTCAGTAGTAACAGAAACCGAAGGAACGTATAAAGGCTATACCTGGTTTTTCTTTTTGAGAAAAATAATAAGTGAAAATGTTTACCATTTTAAAGAAGGGAAAGGTTGACCATCCTTATGTCCATGTCAGAGTCTTCATGGAATATAGCCAGCTCAGTTATAAAGCTAGGATACAGATGTACTGAGGTGAGTGGGAGTTAAAAGATGAGACTGAATAACTATTTGAAACACTGGGTTCAAGCTCCAGGATCGTTAAGTGCGTTCAAATCTGATTTCTTTAAGCCACCTAAAGCTCTGTGAAGACACAAGATCATCTGCATTCAAAAATCACTTAGTTTTATTTTGCAGAATACAGCCATACACCATGATAGACCGTTTTCAATTATGAGATGGCTCAGAAAGCCGGTATGAATTCAGAGAATGTTGAAACCCTATGTTTTGCAGTAAAAAATTAAATCTATCCAGTGAAGTTCCAACTATAGATTTCATAATGATTTCTACTTATTGCTTCCAGGACTTATCAATGCCATTAATGGATGAATATTTCTTCTGAATCGTACCTCAAGAAGAAATGTCATCATTTTACCAATGATAATTTATATCAGAAAAATGAGCCCATTCTGCTTGGATGCATTGGTCATTTTATGCATAGCAACTGGAATTCTGGCTGAAATACCAAAGATAATCAAAATAAACATGGATATTAAGACAAAATTATATACTTTTCACTTTAGACAAATCAATAGGGGTAGGAGGGACACTGATTTTTATAGTGCAATGGGGGGAAAAATTATCAAATAAAATTTTGTAAATCATACAAAGCAAGATTATACGGGTTCCTCATTGATTTGGCAAACATATATAAAACTGATCTCTGAAGTATATTAATGTAAAAAAAACCTCTTATTATTATTAAATGTTTCGTTTACACTGAAGTACAAACTTTTTTGGACTTAAAACACAATTCTTAGTACAAAGACACGACGTTTAAATAAATCGGTTAATAGTTACAACCATCACTCTCTTAAAATTTGCTTTGAAAATCTGAAGAAATCTAAAACTAAACCCATTATTTAAAATAATGTGCAGTTTGTGCCAAGCTAAAAAGGATGAATCAGCAGAATTTTAGAAATATATGTTATTCCATCCAACAATTAATTCTGTGCCTTATTCCCTCATATTCCCCCACTGCACAGTTTAAAAACTCAAAATAAGATCTTTAATTATAATTTTAAGAACAGAGCTTTTTAATAAAAATAGTTATAAATACCGTGTGAGATTATTTGAGTCAAACATATGAGAACTTTTACATGCAAAATGTCACCTTCACATATTTATGATAGTGATTCTGATGTATTTCAAGATACACTGGGAAAGCTTCTTTTGGAAATAAACATGCAGTATCATGAGGATATGTTCACAATTCATCTTGACCAAGAGATTTATTCAGTTTAAACATTTATCTTACTTCAAAAAATATTTAAATATGCTCTAAAAACCAGGAATTTGATATAATGAGGTTCTTGAAATGAATGTGAATCAGAAGCCTTGAAAGTAATTCCAAAGAGTTTCAAAAATACCTTCAATAATGGCAGCAGCACTGAAACATAATATATAGCCTCCCAAAAAGTTATGTAGAAGACTCAGTTATAAATTCTAATGTTTAAAAACAAAAACAAAAAAACCTATGTTGTATCTCTTATATTACCCTTATAACCTTAATCCTTCATTCTGGGTTTTAGTGTAAATAGCACCAAAAAGACTTTTACTCTTTTTTTATGTATCTTAAAAAAAAAAAAAAAACCTCATTGCCATCAAGTCGTTTCTGACTATAGATTATCTCAATTGCCAGTCTATAAAATAAAAACTTAATTATTTCTAATTCCAGAAATCACAGATTTAAAACAAGTCCTATTTAAATAAGGGTTTAAACGATACCTGTAGATTTGATTAGTGAAGGAAAGCTTCTGATTTTTGAAAATGACAGGACAGAATTTTAATCTGGAGGAAGTCATCTAAATATTCATAAAAACTGAAGTAATTTTATATGCAGGCACAAATAAATTGCTTGTTCTGCTGAACTTTCAAAATGTATTTTAATCTCATTCCAAAAAGGAAGAAATTTTCTAGACACAAATACATCTCATTCAATCATTTTTTTCAACATACATTCAGCAACTTAAAATATTATAAAGATCCAATATTTTCATCTTTTATAATCTCAATATATTATATATTTAATATATAATATATATACAATACATACAGGTAGTCAGCAGGATTACAGAGTAATTTTTTTAAAAAAGTTTGATCAGTATTGATAAATATTTTTAGGCTATTAAAAAGAACTATTTAGGATCATAGAATAAAATAAAATACGGGAGACCCAAACCTAAAAGTAGGACTGCAAATGTTCATACGGCCAATCATTTCAAAAGAACTCTCAAGCTGAATAGAACACATTTTAAAACAATACTCTTGCTACTCTCAAGCAGCAGTACTTGTAGACATTAAGCATGTACATCTCCATTAAATTTAAAATAACTACACAGCTTTCTTTACTGTAATATACAGCAGCTATTTCTTCCTTTCTGTTGGATTTTTCGTTATCTGAAGAAAAAACATTACCAACAGAAGAGACTTTCGCTCCCTTCCCTCCCCCAAAGCATGGCTCAGTTTGAAGACTGTTCTATAGGCAGCCACTACTGAGTATTAACAGTACCTTAATACTATTAAGAGCAATCAATCAATAACTGGAGTCATATGAGAAGTTTCAAAGACTGCTAAGGGTTTCTGTAAACCAAGGTAATCAAAAGTATTACCCTTGTAGATAGCCCTCTCACACCAGTTAATACAAAGAGTTAAAATTCCAATGCCACAGTACAATAGTTAACAATTTATTCTGTGATTTTAAATAACGTTAATTCACCCTGAGAATACAGAGGAAGCATTTAAAACAAGAAGATACTCTGATATGCTTTTTTTTCCTTTGTGTTTGCTTGCTTTCTTCTAATTTTCTTCAACCCTTCAAGGGCACAAATATTTGAATTTAATGTGTGACTTGTATACCCTTTATTGTTAACTGAGGTTCATGCCATAGTCAGATACTGGTGATAGAAAAGCCCGAAAAGGCTTGTAGAAAACAGGCAAGCAGCAATCCACCAGGTCAGAAAAGACAGAAGTCCTCGGAAAAGCAGAGGAGAAAAAATGTTTTTTAAGCTGCTCAGTGCCACTGTTATTTGTGTAACAGTTACCTTCATCTTCCCATCAGCAGCTGGTAATTCAGGGTAAACAGAATTGGAGGGCAGACCACCATCCACTGGCAAGGAAGAAATCGTTTCTGGATAAATTCCCCAGGAATGATTACCTAGAAAATTCAAGACATAAAGGAAATTCAAAGAATAACTAATTCCAAAGTTTCTTTAAAAAAAAAAGGAAAAAAAAAAAAAAACCTTTAACTTGTATTTGAAATTAAGAAAAAGTTTAGTAGTACAACGAATCATTTTATGTTGAAATTAAAGTAAAATAATAAACTTACTACATATCTGGTAAATAATTTCACTTAACTTGACCAAGCTGTAATCTGGTCTTAATAGTAAAGGTACATATAAAAACAAAAAAAGCTAAAATACTTTTAATAATTTACACTAAAATCTGGTAAAATAATAACAATTTTTTCCTTGCAAAAGACATGAATCAACTACCTACACTAAGTAACAGGGACTGATTCAATAACTTCTTAGAAATCCTTACTACCTTTAGAATATCAGAATAAATGTCTTTCCCAGAATATATTTATGATTTCAATAAGAGAGACTATTAATAGCTTCCAGAAACTTTTTCATCATATACTTTCTTACAATGGACAGCATGAGTCACATAATTTACAAGTGAGCTACCCCTAAAGGACATCTGAGGAGCCCTGGTGACACAGTGGTTAAAACACTCTGCTGCTAACAGAAAGGTTGAAAGTTTAAACCCACCAGCTGCTCCATGGGAGAGAGATGTGCCAGTCTGCTTCTGTAAACATCACAGCCTTAGAAACACCATGGGACAGTTCTACTCCTGTCACTATGAGTCGAAATAGACTCAACTGCAATGTTTTTTTTGTTTTAAAGGACATTTATACCTATAGCCAGCTCTATGGTATCTACTAATCCTACCGAATACTTTGAATTCCTTTGTGCTTCTTAAACCCCTAACGTTGGTAGACTACCTGATCTAAGGGAAGGGAAATGATCAACATAATAATAGACAGCTCCTGAATAACAACACACAAGGATTTGATAGCCCAATGAACAGACTTGTAGGGGACTTTGTCCTTTCACTGAGAAATCTTTACCTTTTCACCAAAAGTTATCTAAAGTAGAACTCACCAAAGGAGAGTTTAAAAAGAGATTCTGTAACTAAAGGAAGTTTACAAGGATCTTTTAATAATTTAAATGTTAGGCACTAATAAAACCTTTAAAACAATAATGTTTTTAAAGAGAATAATCCTCTTACAACACAAAAGGAACTAAGATCAACAGTGCTCACTAGTTAACTCAGTAAGTCTAACTTTAGGAATTAACCTTTAATAAGCAATTCTTATAAGCATTAAGTTACAAAATAACACATAAGCCTGAGTTTTCAATAAAGATGATGGATCAACTTTTGCAGTTAGAAATTTCCCATGCTTTCTCTTACAACTTTTAAGAGAGACACAAATTTAAGAGGCATATTTTTAAAAAATCATTATTAATTATAGGTAGAAAGCAAAACAACGTTTCCCAGTTGCCAGGGCAGGCCTACCTAGTGTTTTCAGAAGCAGAGTTGTGTGAAGCAGCATTACCAGAGGTGCCACATACTGCAGTGCAATGACACAAAGGTAATAAAACACTCGAGCCACCTGCAACCAACAACATTCTTAAGTGTCTCATACGGTTGACATGTTATGAGTGAATTAAACTTCCATATGATTTTGTCAGTCAAACTGAATTAAGAGATAAGTAATCCTTTCTTGGGAAGGACGTTAAATGTTAATAAGTTTACACTTCATTATAAATGCCCCCAAATTCTGACTTCAGAAAGTCTCTGATTTTCTTAAGTTTGAAGATAAGTTTTAAAAAATGTGAAAATATTGAAATAAATTACTTAAAAATAGTTCTTAGTGGCTAGTATAAATAGGGGGAAATAACCCCTAAAATTCAAATGGCATATGTTCACTTATATTTCAAAGATAAAAAACAAAATGGCCAAAATCTCTAAGGACAACAACCTAAAACATTAAACTAAAACAGGCAGTCATGTTTGAACATAAACCCCTCATAAATAAAAACATGAAATTCCCATTCAACATGAATATATTCGACTGAGGTCAAATTATGAAGAATATGCAACCAAATTTAAGAAAAAAATGGAAAAGTTGTTTGAATCTTGATAAATGCTCCTAACTATGGAAGACAGTAAAAAACAGAGGACTCAACACCAAATCACTAAAATTACATGATCAGATTATAAAAAACCAGAAACTAAACCTGTTGCCGCTGAGTCAATTCGACTCATAGCGACCCTATAGGACAGAGTAGAACTGCCCCATAGAGTTTCCAAGGGGCGCCTGGTGGATTTGAACTGCCAACCTTTTGGTCAGCAGCCAGAGCATACAGGTCCACTGTAATGGTGGATAGATTCCTAACACTTTCTTTCTCTGGAATCCCCATTAAGTTAAATACTTGGTTTCATGCTCAAGTGCAAGGAATAATATTAAAAGGAATAAATTTAAGCACTAAAACTACTAGTTCCCATCTGTGTAAGCCATAAACTCTACACACTATATTGTAATATCTTTCAAATTTTAGAAGGGTTCCATTTAGCAATAGTAGGCATACCACAGCTTTTCACCACCAAACTATATGACATTTAGAGCACTTTAGGCAGGAAGAGGAAGGGGAATTGAGGCCCTTTCTTCACTTATCACCAAAATCAGATTAGGGTCTCTGACAGCTGTCAGTTTAAGATGGCCTCATTACAATAAGGATATTATGACATGAAATTACTCTCTACTAAAGAAAACAAAATTCTATACTTTTTTTTTTTTTACAACACAATATATGCTATTTTTCATTTTGACTACAGTATAAAACATACCATTTTTTGTAGCTCAACAGTACTTATTCGTCCTGCTTCTTTCTTCAGCTGATCCACACATTTCTGGGCTAAGTTTAAGTAAGCTTGCATGTGACTACGCATCATGGCCAACCGCAAAGCACACAGCAGGATTATTAACCACAGTCGTAGAGTATCAAATGTAGCTTCTGTCATTCTACAGATCAAAAAGTTGATATGGAGCTCTCAAAGGCCACAATATGCTAGCATGCTAGTTATATATGCTAAGATATAGGAAATCTATATTTTAGCTACAGTTGGAGATAACAAAAGAATCCCACTCTGCCAAAGACATACATATAATACTTACACTTGCATAATAGAATCAGATAGATTAATGTATCATGGGAGCATAAATAACAGATATCTAGCTGAAGAAAAAGGATGGCAATATTTGAGATTATCTACTCTCTTCCATGGAAGAAAAACTGTGAAATTAAGAGAAGCTGGGTACCTCTTAAACTAGAGATCAGGGGAAAGAAAGAAGTTAGGAATGGGGAACCATAGGAGAATGCCTGTGGAATTTATGAAGTGAACGAGCCATGTATTATTGACTCCAGTTTTGTCTGATTATATAGGTATTTGGATGGGCTCTTTCACTCTGCTGAGTGCCTAATTGGGATCATGAAAAATCAAGAATTCTTGTATATTATTAAGGAAAAACAAAAAACGCAAAACCGTTGCTGTCCCCATAGAGTCAATTCCGACTCATAGCGACCCTATAGGACAGAGTAGAACTTCCCCATAGGGTTACTAAGGGGCAGCTGGTGGATTCTCTTTTGGTTAGGAGCGTAGCTCTTAACCACTGTGCCACCAAGGCTCCCTTAAGAAATCAGATGCCTCAAATTCTTCACCAAGCCATTTAGCCTGCTACATGACTAACTGAAGGTGGTTGAGGTCTGAGCAATTCCTCAAGGATAAGGTTAGAATTCCAGGTAAGAAAATGTACCCTTGGGACATCTTTTCAGAAACTAGACCACTCCCACCCCTGCAAGCCTGCTCTGCCTTCTGGGCCTGCTTTCTAACTAGGGAAACACAAACTAGCACTACATAACAATGTTAGGGAAATCTTTTTAATTTTGTTAGTCCTTTTCTAAAGGACTTTAGAAAGCAGAGATAATTTCTGATGTCCTTTGGGGTTTAACTAAAAAAAAAAAAAAGTTTCTGCTTTGATAAAGGACTACATTTTGAGTAATTTGAAAGTAACAAAGACCATCCCCAGCCTCTAGTCTAATCTCTAGCATGTATCAGACACTTAATAAATGATTGCAGGATCTGGCACTGAGACAGGTCTCTCTCAAATTCTTAAGACCATGAGGTTAGAATGCATGGGTATAAAAAATAGGAAAAGATTAAAAATTTTACATTTCTCCCCAAATAGGTTCCATTATTACCTACTCCTTCTGTCCAGTAGTAAGAACCCAGGAAAATAACTAAAACTACAACACAGAAAAAGCTACCTGGGGGAATAACTCTTAGGACTAGTATAGGAAATAGAAAAGGCAGGGAAGAAGAGGATAAAATGCAGTTTCATTTTAACTGTTCTCTGATATAAAGGTCACAGATGAGGAAGGAACAAAGGCTTTACTATGTATACACCCACTCTTCACTTATTGATGTGGTTAGGTTTCAAAGACCAGGTCCTTATGAGAAAATTGGTGTTATGCAAAATTGGAGGAACTTTTGTTTTCAGACCAACCATATGTCTGTTTTTTTTTATTTAAAAAAAAAGATCATAGAAATAGTAACAGCTAAGATTTACTAATGTGCTCATCACTGTGACAAAACAAAACAAATGGCTAAATCCATCGTCACTGAGTAAATTCCGACTCAGCGACCCTATAGGACAGAGTAGAATTGCCCAATAGGGTTTCCAAAGAGCAGCTGGTGGATCTGAACTGACAACCTTTTGGTTAGCAGCCATAGCTCTTAACCACTGTGACACCAGGGCTCTGTGGTAAGTCCAGTCATGGATTATCCCTCTGCGGAGAAGGGGGCTTGAAGGAGATAAAGCTGGATAAAGTCTAGCTGTGTGACTGGAGGGCCCACTTTACATTCCTCCAGTGTGGGTCAGAGCTTCCCTCTCAAAGCCACCTCCAGGGCTCCACTCCCACCCCTGCAAGCCCTGTGTTCACCATCCAAGAGCTGCTCTGCCCTCTGGGCTTGTGTTCTAACTAGGGAACCAGGAACTAGTATTACATAACAATGCTAGGGCATCGTTTTTGATTTTGTTAGTTGTGATGATAATATTGTTGTTATGTAAGAAAATTTATTTTTTAGAGGTACATATTAAAGTACTTAGAGGTAAAATGTTATGTCTCTAACTTACTTGAAAAATACTTCATCAAAGATAAAACAAAAAAAGGATGAAGCAAATATGAAAAATGTTAATATTAACAAAAATAAGAGAGCTATAGAAGTTATCGAAAAAATAAGTGCAATGACAACCAAAACATGACCGATGACAACCGGACATTAAGTGAAGAAAAGGAAAAACTTACAAGTGCACAAGATAATATTATTAGATAATATTACTGCAGGGTAGTAATAATCAATACCCATTAATAAGGATCACAAAAAATCAAATGATGGCCTGCATCTTCAATTTAATATCACATTTTTTAACATTTCTATTAATGTTTGAAAAAGTCTCCTAGTTTTATCATTAAAAAACTTAGATAACAGTATATGACACTTAAGAAAACACTTTAATTATATAATTAAAAATTAGTCCTCAAATACCCATACTTACAAAGGGATACTTTCTTTTCCCAATGGTGGGTTCATAATGTAGTCTTTAGTGATTGGTTTCACCCAGAGGAGAACCATAAACAAAGGTGCCAAGAAGTTGATATGAAGTAATATTCTAAAAGTATGTAAGAAATAAGGATAAATATCCAGAAACAAAATAGTCTCATAAACTACAGAAAGTTGGATCTATATAAAATTAGGAATGTATTTCAGCATTCTACTTTAAAGTTCTACTATCACCAACATTTTATATTTATTACTATCACTTAACACTGATTTGAGCCTTTGCCAAACTATGTGATGTTAAGTATGGCAGTCACTATCTTAATTTTTCAGATGACAACATTTAGATACGGAAGGTTAAATGACTTGCTCATGGTGACATTACAGATTAGAGGCACAGCTAGGAGTAAAATCCAGATTTGTTCTTTTTACTCGTATGCTCTTTAACAATCCAATACTATACCTGAGATTCAATACTCTCGACTCATAGTAACCCTATAGGACAGAGTGTAACTGCCCCATAGGGTTTCCAAGGCTATAATCTTTACAGAAGCAGATGATTCTCTAACTTGATACAATGAACCCAATGGATTTTTAATATTGGGGGGGTGTCATCTTCTGATACCGTTTAGCATAGCTGAAATGAGGTGCCTTCTAATTATTTACAAGGAAGTGACAGTGATTAGCAAGCCTCATAATACTAGAAAGCATATATATGGCAGACAGAGCCTACTATAACAACTTGTAACAGACAAACCTTTTAATATATAATAATCATGTATAGGGTTTAAAGTACATTATCAAAATCGTAAGTAATTCACACATTTTTAAAATTTATTCTTAGACGATTATGAACATACCTGAAATAATTTCCCTATCTTATATAAATCAAGGAAATTTATATTAGTCCTAACAAGGCACTATACCCAATACAGAAAGGGGTTTCAGGTCTGAGCTATCACTTCATTGTTAACTGTTTTCCAAGTTTTATTCTACAGGAAAAGACTGTTGAAGATTTTTCTTATTTTAGAACAAAAGCAAATTCTTCAGACTAGTTATTTTGTTACACTTATACCGCCTTCATTATCAACCATGCTACTGCCGTGTTTAACACACACACATTTTTAAATATCACTACATATGCAAATGATAGTAATCTGTGTGAGGGTGTGTGGAAGAGAGGCTGGATAAGGAAACCATGAACACTTGACAGGGAAACGCAGAACTTTGGGTTCCAACCTCTGTCATTAAAACAAGAACTAGTGCTTGGCCATGGGGGTGAGAATAATATTGTTCTTTGTGCCAGTTATGGTACTTTTATAACAGAACTAGCTTGCCCACACCCTTGTATCGAGGCAGAGTGCTACATCACAATAGAGCGAGGGGGCGCTGCAATAAACTGAAAACAAAACAAAACCCCAAATCCCCCAAGAAAGAATTCTTAAAAACAAGCCACATTTTACTGAAAAGGACAGTAAAATGTGCCCCCTTCAAGCCCCTATTAAATGCTTTAAATGTTTTTATAAAGTGATTCTTTCATCCCACAGCCTGGGTAAACCATCGAGTGCAGGGGAAGAAAAAAGCAGTATTAGGTATGCAGTGTTGCTAGGGAACACTCTAGTATCAAGGAGCAGCCCACAGCGGTTTCAGTAGCTTGTGAAGGGCTCCCCTCCACCCACCCTTTTCAGTTTATTTAAATCATAACACTGGGGTTAGTGGACTGAAGTGTGTGTGTAGACAGGAGGGGGAGAACCAGGTTTTGTCTTAAAAGAAGCCATTAGAGAGACGGGTGGTAGAAGAAAGCCAGGATGTAGCCAAGGGCATGCTGAGTAAAAGGAGGGAAAAAAGGGTGGGGGGGGATAAAGGAGTGTATAGTAGGAGGTGGGAGTAAGTAAACATGCGCACAAAGCATACGTAGAAAATGGAGGTGGGAAAAACAGACTGTCAAAATTAAAGTAAAGGAAAATGACATAGGTTAGAGAGAGATGAATGATTACAGAAAGGTTTCTATGAAAAGACTGTAGAGAATCAGCATCATTAAATATAGGGCTTCAAAGAGCAGAAATGTTAGGAAATATAATTAGGGAGTGAAACCTAATGACTTTAAGTACATTTATCATAATGGAACATTTTCAACTTGGACTTCACTGCAAAACAAAACGACGAGATGGGAACTTGGATCTGGTTATGAGTTGAAGCAGATCTCTGCCAAGGTGTCTAGATCAACAAAAAAATCTGTGACAACCAAAAATAATATATTAAATGTGCTTTGAACTATATGTAGAGATCTGATTCAATATTTCTCCTGAGAACTAAAATAGGATTTGGCAGTTAAAAGTAATCGATGATATATATAACACTGTACAGTATTAGTAATCCCAAAATGAAATAACTCCTAACAAGCATCTTAACAACAGATCAAGAACTTGAGGAAGACAACATTTCTTTGGTATATAGCTTTCAGTTAAAAAAAAAAAAAGAAAGAAAATAAAATGTTAAATAAAAAATGAATTATTTAAAGAAATTTATATAAAATATTTTTAAGTAAAATGTTCTGATTTTTTAGGGGAACTTCTCATAGTTCCTTAGTTCAGTTGTAGGGTTTGCAGTATCATGAGCACCAACCTCTGAAGTAAAAAGAACTAACATAAATGTTGATGTTTTCATTTTAGCAGGTAAAACAGAAGTTTAGTAATTAATGGTATATATATATTTCTAACATGACTTAAAACTCGGAAGTGAATAAAAGAATCTTGCTTAAAGTAAAAAAAGAAGTAGTGTGACATTGAATGGTTACTTGAGTATTCATTTTTAAAACAGTAATGTATGATTTCATTACAATAATATACCTTCATTAAGATGGAAAACATATATTTATCTGCATGTGCCTATGTACATTTTCCGCTTACTGTGTAATTTTTTCTGTTGCCAAATTCAGGGCATCCAGATGCATTTGAGCCAGTCGTAATCCAGGAAATGTCAAAAAAGCCCCAATGAGTGAACAGAAAATAGCCAGAAAAAATTTGAAAGTAAGTTTAGAAACAGGACTCCTAAAAAGAAAAAAGAGCTGATAAATTTTTAACTTAATTTCTAAGAATTTCCTTTCTTCTAAATCAGTTACTTTACAAATCACTGAAATAATAAAACAAATTAAGATTTCTACAAAAAGACTGCTCTTACTTAAGAATCTATTACAGATTTTGGTGAACTACAAATTTCCATATTTAATAAACTAGGCATGTCTTCAGTCATAATAACACTACCTACATATTCAACATACAATGGATATGTGACACAGGTATCAATTTAGTTTATTCTTTGGATGCAGAAAGAACTAAATAAGGGCAAATCAAAATAATTATATGAAAGATATTAACTTTAAAAAAATGTAAAAAATATAACATGGTTTCTAGAGTGACAACCTAACTTAAAAAGAATTCTCACTGATTTAAAAACGAAGAACCATTTATAGTAAATACCTTAATAAAAATAGATAAAAACTTCACCTGTGATATTTAAATAATGTTTAATTTTTCAAAAACTTACTGAGATTCTAAACCTTGCTTTTCAAGAAACTGCATCGCACTGTCTGAAAAATTTGTAAACCCTGTTGGGAAAAAAAATGATTTATCACGGGGGTAAAATACAGAATCTTTAGAAATGAAATGCTACAACACAGAGCATCTTAAATTTTGAAGTGACTAGCTTAGCTCTTTGATGTGCTAATTAGTATGCCATCATGCAATAAAATTTGGTTATTAGCAAAAACAGTCTTTGAAAATATCCCTTTGATATTTGCACATTCCACAAGAGTGAATAAAATTTGCATTAACTCTTTATTCCAGTCAACTTTAGCATTACAGAAACTGCAAGAAAAAATGGGGAAGGGGAGGAGACAGTATTTTTTGGAAAAGAGAAACTAAAAACAGCTGAAACAATCTAGAAGGAAGATCTTATTTAAGAAACACAAACAAACAAACCCGATGTCGCTGAGTAACTCATAGTGACCCTATAAGACAGAGTAGAACTGCCCCATAAGGCTTCTAAGAAGCAGGTGGTGTATTCAAACTGCCAACCTTTTGGCTAGCAGCCGTAGCTCTTAACTACTGCGCCACCAGGGTTTCCATTTAAAATAGTGAAAATTATTTAGAAAATTGCAGATACAGGCATACCTCGGAGATTTGCGGGTTCAGTTCCAAACCACCAGAACAAAGTGAAATCACAGGAATTTTTTGGTTTTCCAGGGCATACAGTTACATTTACAGTATACTTTTTAACCTGTTAAGTGTGCAGTAGCATTAGGTCTTTAAAAAAAAAAAAAAAAGTACATACCTTAATTAAAAAATGTTTTATTCCTAAAAGAATGCTAACCATCATCTGAGGCTTCACGAGTTGTAATCTTTTTGCTGGTGCGGGGTCTTGCCTCAATGTTGATGGCTGCTGACTGATCAGGGTGGGGTGGCTGTGGCAATTTCTTAAAATAAGATAACAATGAAGTCTGCTGCATCAACTGACTCTTCCTTTCACAAAAGGTTTCTCTGTATCATGCAATACTGTTTGATAGCATTTGCCAACGGTAGAACTTCTTTCAATTGCAGTCAGTCTTCTCACACCCTGCCACTGCTTTATCAACTAACTTTATGTGATATTGGAAATCCTTTGCCGTCATTTCAACAATGTTCACAGCATCGCCATCTCAAGCAATCACTTTCTTTGCTCATCCATAAGAAGTAGCTCCTCTTCCGTTCAAGTTTTATCATGAGATTGCAGCAGTTCAGGCACATCTTCAGGCTCCACTTATAATTCTAGTTCTCTTGCTATTTCCACCACATCTGCAATTACTTCCTCCACTGAAGTCTTGACCCCCAAACTCCTGTTAATGTTGATATTCTGACCGCCTCCCGTATGTTCTTAATGGCATCTAGAATGGTGAATCCTTTCCAGAAGGTTTTCAATTTACTTTGCCCAGATCCATCAGAGGAATCATTCTCTATGGTAGCTATAGGGCCTTAGGAAATGTATTTCTTAAACAATAAGACTTGAAAGTCAAAATTACTCCTTGATTCATGGGCTACAGAATGGATGTTGTATTAGCAGGCATGAAAACAACATTAATCTCCTTGTACATTTCCATCAGACATCTTGTGAAGAGGTGCACTGCCAATGGGCAGTTAATTGTTTGAATCTTTTTTTCTTAGCGGTGGGCCTCAACAGTGGGCTTAAAATATTCAGTAAACCATGTTGTAAACAGATGTGCTATCATCCAGGCTTTGTTGTTCCATATATAGGGCACAGGCAGAGTAGATTTAGCATAATCCGTAGGGGCCCTAGGATTTTCAGAAAACGGTAAATTGGCCTTGGCTTCAACGTAAAGTCACTAGCTACATCAGGCCCTAAAAAGACAGTCAGCCTGTCCTTTGAAGCTTTGAAGCCAGGAACTGACTTCTCCTCTCTAGCTATGTAAGTCAGTCCTAGGTGGCATCTTCTTCCAATATAAGGCTGTTTTGTCTACATTGAAAATCTGTTGTTTAGTGTAGCCACCTTTATCAATTATCTTAGCTAGATCTTCCGGATAACTTGCTGCAGCTTCTACATCAGCACTTGCTGTTTCACCTTGCAGTCTTATATTATGGAGATGGCTTCTTTCCTTAAATATTGTGAACCAATCTCCGCTAGCTTCAAACTTTTCTTCTGCATCTTCCTCACCTCTCCTACCCTTTACAGAACTGAAAAGAGTTAGAGCCTTGCTCTGGATTAGGCTTTGGCTTAAGGGAATGTTGTGGCTGGTCTGATGGTCTATCTAGGCTGATAAAGCTTTCTCCATACCAGCAATAAGGCTGTTTTACTTTCTTATCATTTGTGTTCACTAGAGTAGCACTTTTAATTTCCTTCAAGAACTTTTCGTTTACATTCACAACTTGGCTGTTTGGTGCAAGAGGCCCAACTGGCCTTTTTTTTTTCCTAATTGTACTTCAGGTGAAGGTTTACAGAACAAATAGTTTCTCATTAAACAGTAGTACACATATTGTTTTATGACATTGGTTAA